CCACCCCACACTTGGCATCGCATCCATCTCATCTCCCACCCATATATCCCACCGACCAGCCGAGCTATTTGTCCGTCCGTCCGTCTGTCTGTCTGTCTGCCTCGCTCATCGTGTGGCCGTCTGAAAGGAAACGTGAGCCCATCCCCCCGCCATCCCATGCATGTCTCGATCCCTTCTCGTCTCGTCTTGTCTGTCCAGACCTGGCAAGGCCACCCCGCCCGCACAACAGTCATCCATCCATCCATCCGCACCGCCACACACACTAAAGGGCATCAAAGAAAGGCGTCCACTCCACGACAGACATAAACCACAGTGTGCACTCCAGACCGACAAAGGGCATCATCAGACGACAAATCGGTCAGTCAGCCAAACGTGCATTGCTTTGCGGCACACCACACCCATGCAGCACACGACAGACAACAGACACCATAAATTGATGCAGACAGACGGTGTCATCCATCCATCCATCCCCCTGTGAGTGCCACGGCATGTGTGTGGTGCCGTTGATCCGTCCATCGTTCCTTCCCTCCCCTTCGATTGGTGAGTGTGTGTGTGTGTGGGGGGGGGGTGTCTGTTGTGCCCTCTCTGGCGCATGCTCACACACACATACAGACCGACAGCCAGACGGACGGACAGAATCAAAACACATCACACATCCATCAGCCAAGACAGCCAGACAGACAGCCAGACAGACAGGCCGACGGAGATAGGTAGGTAGCTACGAGAAGCGGTCCGTCCGTCTGTGGGAGTGTTGCGTGGATGCAGGTAGGCATTGCAAGGGCGTGGGTAGACAGACAGGCAGACGTGTGCCTGGGCTGCCTGCCACTGGTGGGTGGCACAGCACAGCACAGAACGCCTCCCCTCCCCACGCAAGCCCACCCCACCACAACTGACTGCGTCAGATCAGGTCAGCTTCCGCTTCTTGCTCCGGGTGTTGTACTTGTGCGTGGGGTGGTCATTGTCATCGGCAGCGGTAGCAGCAGCAGCAGCAGGCAGAGCGGTGCGCTGGCGCTGGTCCGTGTGGTGTGTGGTGGGCGCCACAGCTGTCGTCTCCCTCGGCCGCTTCTTGCCCTCCCCCGCCTGATGGTTCCTCTTTCGCCACTTGGCGCCTCGCTGGCCTCCCTCGTCCAGCTCAGTGTCCGCCGCCCTCTTCTTGTTGCCCTTCTTGTTGTTCTCTGTCTTGCGGGCTTTCTTGGGTGCGCAGCCCTCCTGCTGCTCACGAGTGGGGTGGTCGTTGGCAGCCGGGAGGGATCGCTTCTTGCCCCGCTGTGTCTGCTCCTGTTGCAGTCCGAGCCCTGGCGCCCGGCGCCTTGTGTGCATGAGCAGCTTCTCCCTGTGCTGTGTGACGGCCCGCTGGGCGGCGTCGAGGAGGAAACCGAAGGGCAGAGTGGCGATATCAGTGGCACCCATGGTGATCGGGCTGAAGGCCTCAGACACCGACTTGGGCTGCACACATAGAGAAACAAAGATGCCATCATGGATCGGATCGACGGATGGGTTTGGTCCCAGCCAGGGGTTTCTTCCGCCCACCAGGGAGTGGGTGTTGATGCGCGCCAGGGCCCGTGCGATCGTGAGAGGCGCCAGGTGGTTGACAGCCACGTCTCTCGCGCTCGCGGTAGGTCGCCGCTCGGTCAACTCGTACAGAAGAGGCCTGCATGGATCGCACACAAAGCAGCCGCATGCACAGTGGATGGATGGATGGATGAATTGATGTGCTGCATGACTTGGTACATTCTCTTGAGTGTGTTCTTGACGGCGTGTGAGAGCTGGTTGGCGATCTTGGTGCGATGCCTGACGCCGTTGAGAGTACTAATCCCCCACTGGTCCAGTTGGTCACTGTTCATGGGGACCGAGGCAAACAGCTGCACACAAGACACAGACACGCACACAATGAAAGCACTGAGCTCGGCAAAGACACAGACAGACGTACCGCGCAGATGACTTACGTGTTTGAATCTTAAGAAACTTTCGCTGCCGATCTCGCCGCCGCAGATGTCCAGCAGCGACTCCACACGGAGGCCGTCGGCCTTGGCTGCCCCCACGGCGGCCTCGCACACCACCCGCACCGGGTCGTGGTGACACCCAGCACCGCCCTCGGTGTGCGCGAAATACGCCTGCACGCATTCAAAGACAGTGCGGTGTGGGCCGTGTGTGTGTGAGTGAGTGAGTGTGTGCCTACCTGGACGAGCGAATTCAGTTTGTCTAGTTGCGCCTGTGCGCCGGTTTCCTTGGATGACAGGTACAATGCCATGAAGGCCGCCTCCAACTTGGCAAGACTAAGCCTGATCGATACACGCACACACAGAGAGAAGAACACATACAAGCCCGTCCACTCACCCACCCTCCCACCTCTGTCCGTGTATTGCCTGTCTGCCGCTCCCTTACTTGAGTGCCTCATAGAGCTTCTGTAGGGTAGCCTCCACAGCCGCCCTGATGCCCCCAAATGCATGCTCACGACCATCCTCCTGTGGCTCGCCTCCCCTCATGTGGACCACCACGCCCCTCGCATGCCAATCGCACCTGCCCACCGTGAAGCCCTCGTCATGCGCCGCCTTAGCCAGCTGCTGTGACAGCTCTGGGGGGCTCCTGTCCGTGGCGGTGACGGCCTCCACCGCCCGTACACTCCACACACCATTGGCGTCCTGCGTGGCGGTGGCCATGAAGGACCGCATGAAGTCGGATTTCTCGCATGCGGCGTCCTTGGTGGTCCGGAGGAAGCGCAGCTTGTATGTGAGGGGCACGTTGGGATAGATGCGCGTGGTGCCGGTGGTGGGTGGGTCGTCTTGCTGCTGCTGCTGCTGCTGGTGCTGTATCGTGTCGTCGAGCATGCGGAAGAAGGTCGTGACGTCATCGGGTGCCTGGGCCTTGAGGGCCGCCATGGCGCTAGTCGACGGCAGACTGACGGCCACCACACGACCACCACCACCACCTTGGCCACTTCCAGGCTGCTGGTCCGATCGGCTGATGCTGGTGTTGGTGCGTGCATTGGCACGTGGCTGGATGCGGTGGTCCACGAGTGTGCAGGCGAGGCGGGTGGCCGCCCAGGGGTCCACCAACGGCACGCTCGCGTTGCGGTGCATCATGAGAAGATCCTCGGAACGCACAAAGACATGAGAATGGCCGCGGTGGCCATCAGCACCTGACAGACAGACAAACAGGCAGGCAGGCAGGCAGGCAGGCAGAGAGAGGGAGAGAGGTACGGTTATAACCCCGCGGTCATGCGTGTGTGCGCACCGTTGTGGTGCGGCTGTCCGCCTGTGTATTTGGTGTCCTTGACGTAGTTCTCGATGGACTTCGGGATGGTCAAGTGGATGACCCCGTCCGCTCGCGGCGCGTGGCCTGCGTGGACGAGGTCAACGCCACTCGTGGCAGCCAACACGCGAACCTTCCCTACACACACATAGACACGACACGATACAACACACGTGGGCAGGTATGTTATGTCATGGCGTGTCTGTATGCTCAGTGTGTGTGTGGATGGACGCCCATAACTTGCTCACTCAGTTCCTCACCTGTCATGAATCGATCCATCACCGCGGCCAGCTGTCCCCTCGTCCGCCCTGAGTGATAGGTTTCGACCTCCCCAAACACACCTGCAGTGCACCCAACACAACACAACACAACACACGTGCATTGCATCCCATCCCATCCCATCCACCCCCCCTCCGCCTGCCTCTCTCTGAGTGTTGTTTGTGTGCGTCCCGTCCTAACTAACATACGTACGTGTTTTCATCAGGGAATCTGCAAGCATGTCTGCGTCCGACTGTCGCCACGCAAAGACGACGATGGTCTTCATGGCCGCCCAGGGCTGTTTTCTGAGCAGCGCCTCGACCTCCATGACCCGGTGGAAGTCCCAACGGTGCTCGCTGTACGTCATGCCGAACACGCCATCGTCATTGGAGCCAACTGACAGACAGAACAGTGACAAAACGAAGAAGGAGTTGGGGCTTGTTGTATCAATCTCTGTCTGTCTGTCTGTCTG